GAGGGAGTGGAAAGAGAGTGTTTATCCAGTCCCCGACCCAGTTAGATATTCTCTCAATTCACATTGGCAGATCTGGGGGATCAGGGCTCTTGACCCCCCTCCCTTGGGCAAAAAAATAAATAAAATACTTCTAGACCCACCTTTTCAGGACCCGTGAGCTGAATTTTTTCACAATAAGAAAATTCAATTTAATTTTTAATTAATGTGTTTTTTATATGCCTTTTTTATTTCGTCTATTTTTATCATTTTAATTTGGTTTCTAACAAACTCGCCCCTTAACAAACTCACCCTCTACCGAACTTGCCCTTTAACAAACTCGCACATAACCTTTCTGATAGGTTGGTACAGTCAGTGGTGCCGCCAGCGGGGAAGGGGAATTTTCCCCCACTTCCCGTGGTAGGTCGTCGAATCAAAAATTTAAAAATAATAAATTGCCTATCCAAATACCGTAACCTTATTTTTACTGGCAAATCCTGTAATATTGTGGTCCAAAAGTACATTTTGCACCACACTAAGCAATAAAAACTGCAAGGTAGTTTTTATAGACATACTTTGATTGCATGTTTATTAATGCATTAAATGGAGATTTATGAAAAAAGTATAGTCAATAGATTAGTTTGTCTGATGTTTATAAAATACACAAATAAATGGAATACAGTAAATTATAATTTACAAATACGTACATATTTATGGCCGTTTCAGGGTTTTTAAAGCTGGAAAAATCACTACTTTCGAGGCCTATTAGGCCTACCTGTACTATTTGCCTGAACTAATAACAAACAAAAAAATCGGAAAGAAACTCCCACAAGCAAACAGGTTCCCACGGAACTCTGGGTGTAAGGCAGACGCATTCTTTGTATGCCGCCTTCAGGAATGTTGGCGCATTGCTGGTCAGATGCTAAAAAACGACTAGCTTTTAGGTGCAAACACTTGCGATGACAGTGAAGCTGCACGGTGTGTTCACCTACTTCATACAATGTCACCAACTTTGTTAGGGGGCGACTGTGTATATATTCGAAGGGCGAGTTTGCTAGGGGGCGAGTTTGTTAGGGGTGGCTGTGTATAGTCAGGGGGAAAGTCTGCTTGGGGGCCAGTTTGTAAGGGGAAAGTTTTTAGGGGGAAGTTTTTTATAGAGAGATTTTGTTAAGGGGTAAGTTTGTAAGGGGCGAGCTTGTCAAGGGGGAGAGATTGCAAGGGGCAAGTTTGCTAGGGGCGAGTTGACTGGTATCTGGTATTATTATATCACTTATATTGAAGACAAACAGCCAGTCAGTGGCATAACACTGGTGCCAGGGGACCTGTGCTGTGGCTTTTTGAGACTGGGGATACAAATTAATGTGTGCCGTTTAATACAGTAGGCCTAAAATAGATTAGGCTTGTTACATACTGTATACAGTCTGATACATTGCTTATTCCAAAATTAATTTTCAGGAATTGGTCAACAGGCATCATTTCACCAACATCTAGTTCATCGTTATCATTGCGTTTAAATTTTGAGAAACATGGCAAGCATTGTGCAAGGCATTGACGCATTTGTGTCATGCCCAATTTGTAAAGAACACTATGATGAAGACATTCGTCGCCCTAAAATTCTTGTATGCACACACTCTTTTTGTATTGTCTGCATTAGAGAACTGATTCGGCGATGTTATAATGCTCGTGAAAACACCTTCAGATGCCCAACTTGCAGGTATGAACATATACCTCCAGCACAAGGTACGGATGCCAGTGCTTACTATACTGACAACAATGACCTACTCGGACTAAAGGATCTCCTTGAAAATCAATACAGACAGAGGGATGAAAGTCAAGTGCAAAAATGTGAGCTTTGCCGTGAACCATCTAACTTTAATGAAGCAGTGGCATGGTGTGAAAGTTGTTCTAAGGCTCTTTGTAAAATCTGTTGTGAACGTCATGATGACTTACCAATAAAGGGGCATCCAAAATCAACACCCCTAAATGAAGTTAATTTTCATGAAATTGACAGAAAAGATTACTGCCAGGTTAAAGACCACAAGGGAGAAGAAATCACCTTGGTGTGCTATCAACATGAAATTACAGAATTCCTCTGTAATGTCTGTGCCCAAGATAGCTGTCATCAACACCATGACGTCAAGGATCTCAAAACAGAAGCTAAAAACAAACTAAGCGAAATTAATAAATTATTTAACATGGCTGAAAAAATAAATCACAGTGACCTTGATTGCAAACAAATGTTAGAGGTTGCAAAAGACACATTAGAAAGGAATCTGAATGCTGCACAGTCACACATCAATGAATGCCAGGATCATTTCATGGAAGCTTTACAGAAACATGGAGAGAACAACCAACAAAAACTTTGTGAGATCAAAGAAGAGAAAAGTGATTTACTCAGTAAAGAAATAGAAGAAAATAAGCAAAGGTGTTGTAGATTTGAGAACATCACAAACGAGGTTGATCAATTCCATCTAGCTTCCCCACGTACCATAGTGGAAGATACTAACAATTTGACAGATGCTCTCATTAAATATAAAAATATGAAAGAGGTAAAAGCACCAACTGCAAATGTCTATGTGGATGTCAAATGCGGCGTTGATACTGATGACAAATTTGAACAATTCCTACAAGAAAGCCGCCAAATTCGAACCATGCCATCTGAATTAAGAATCTGCCACCCAAAACTGGCATTTCGAGATTTCAAATTTAAACTCCAAATCCAAACAATTCTAGACAATGAAATCTGCAAAGTCGGAGGACTCCCTGTCAGAGTAAGTGTCCACTGCCCATGTTGCAGGGCTGATAAAACACTAGTTCCTCATTATAAGTGTGGAAATTATTTAGTAACATACTTGCCAAAGTCCATAGGGGAATATACGTTTGACATTTACATAGAGGGCTCTGAAAAACCCACAGCAAAGGTTTGTGTTTCTGTACATCTTCTTGAACTCTTTTATGAAAAAATAGTTCATTGTGGTGAAGTTTGTACACTAAGAGCACATTTTGCTGCTATTGACATTGCTACAAGGCTTAATGTCATATGCCAAAATGAGGTGGGGGATATTTTGGAACCAGTAGATGTAACTGTTAGCAGTCAAGAGCTGAATGCTGCAGTCCAACCAAACTATCTTGGGAAGTTAAAGATGTATGTAACATTTGATAACATCAAAATAGCAGGACCATTCACAATTGCAGTTTATAAAAAACCTAATTGGAACACAAATTCCCTGGCAGATTCTGAAATAACCCACCTAGCTGTCAGTGATAGATGTGTCTATTTCGCTGATACCCAAGTAAATAAAAAGATACTTGCTGTGAACCCCATGAAGGGTCCAAATATGTATGCTGTCGACAATTTCCAAAAAAAAGGAATGTCATTCCTAGCTTTTGACGACGTTGGAAAGAAATTTGTTCTTTTTATCACTGTCCTCAAAGATGCCCTATCTGCTGGAGAGAAGATCGAAACAAAAACAGAACTTAAAATATGTACCAGAAATGGTCGAAAGTCTTCCTACATTTTGAAATCTGTGAAGAACCCGGCTGGTATTGCAGTCAATACATCTGGTGAAATTGCAGCTGTGTCTGATCGAAAGGAACACTGTATATTTATCTTTCACACACCAGAATCAGATGAGCTTATAACAAGCATAGATCCTGTTAGGAAACTGGGTGAAGAGGGTGAGCGTTTGGGAACTTTCAATAACCCAACTGCTCTGTGTATAAATAAAAAGAATAAGCTGTTTGTCCTAGACAGTGGGAATGGTAGAGTACAAGAACTCAACATGGATGGTGAATTTGTAGATGTGTATGGACCAGAGATACTCAGACTCCAAGCACCAGAATCAATTTGTCTCTCACCAGAAGGCTATCTGCTTATTTTAGATACCAACAATCTAGTAACTATCGATGTGAATTCTGGACACCGAAAAACAATTCATCAAGTTGCAATCTGCTGTGAAGGCCAAAGTTGCAATTTTAATCACCTGATTTGCTCCCTTTCCGATTGTCAAGTGTTGCGCTTTTGTATAGGAAAGAATGCTATGCATATTTTTAGGTATTTACCAATTGAGAAAAAGTAGATGCTGTCAGGAGAGCCACTTGATAGTTTTTATAACTTTTTTGGCAATCCTTGAAAGGCAGCATCATGTTTTGTTTTTATGTTTGTCCAGAAATTAAATTTGAATTGAGTAGAGCTATCATAATCAGAAACAATGACAGTGCCACCAGGGGAAGGAGGGACTGGATACAGATCCTGCCCCTTCCAAATATCAGTGGTTGGAGGGACTGGCACCAGAGGGGTAACCAGACAGCTGAGCAATGCTTAGTAGGAGCGGCACCAGAGGAGTAAGCACCCAGCTGGACAATGCTGCCTTCGGGAGGTCCACCCCATCAAGGAACTCCCAGTAAAATTAATCAGAAAATTTGTTTTTGATGACATTAGACTATAAGTGTCTATAAGTGTCATAGACATATAAGTTTATGCCTCAACCCCAAACATGGTGAGACCGCGAGGTGGTCCATCAGTAAAATTAACTACGTGGATCCCTCTATTTTGAATATCTGGATATATGTAATGTTTATAGACAAGCAATCATGTGTACTTTTGATTTATTTATTTAATTGGTTGGTGACATTATACCGTGAGAAAAAACAATTTCTATGTCTCTGACAATGATAATAAAATCAGGGGCAGATCCAGAGATATCCGAAAGTGAGGCAGATTTAGACAAAACTACTGTAGTTTGTGGGGTGTATGCCCTCGCAAATTTTTTTTTTCTAGACTCCCGAAAATAGCCTCTGAGGAGTTTTGGGCGATCAATTATTTCTTTTTCTTTCTTTCTTTTTTTAACTTTCCAAAAAGGGAGGGGGTGTCACGGCCATCCCAGCATTCTTCTAAGTCCGCCCCTGAAAATATCTGTTTTACTGTACAGGTACAGTACCTCTTAGTACATTATTATTATTGTGGTCATTAGTATAATAAACAATTAGTAGAGCTCCACATAGTACACTATAGAAAAATTATTATACAAAGATTAGATTTTAATGCTTGAAAAAATTGTTGAATGCATTAAATCTAACCTAAGTATAATAATTTTCTGCTAGTGTACAATGCATGCTCTACTAATTGCTTTGTAAGTCAATCGCCGTCTTTTAATGTTAGTTTTTATAACCAGCTGTGTTGTACCAGTCATCCGCTGCTATAGTGATATGATCAGTATACTGCGTGCATATTTATATTTTGTGCGTATGCTGATTGTGCTGCAGTAGGCAGCGTCTACGCGTTAACTACACATCAGCAGTACGATGAATAACTAGGCCTAAGCTATTTTGTAATTTGTATTGTGTTAGAAGAACTTGTCAAAGAAATAAACATTTTTCAAAGCATTCGAGAAAGAATACAGACACTGTCACTAACGTTTTGGTCAGTGCAGACAGGTAAAAATCTCCGAATGATTTCATAACTACGCTAGGCTATACTGGCTAGGCTAGTAGTAAGAGGAGGCCTCTGCGGCTCTATATCTAATTTAAAGTAACTTTCTTCGGGTTCTAATTAACCTTGTCTTACGAAAGTAATTTTCAATTACAATTCACTTTTTTTAATGCGGTGCACGATGTCTTCGCGGTGCGAAAAAATGAGAATTTTTTTTTGCACACGAACCTAAAAATTCAAGCCAAGCGTCCACTAATTGAAAAATTAGTGGATGGTGGGGAATAGGCAAATAACATTGGGAGTTGCAGTGATGACGTCACGATTGACTTATACTTATTATTATTATTATTATTATTACAGTATTATTATATTATTGCTATTATTATTATTATTATTATTATTGTTATTATAATTACAAGTAGTATTGTTATTGTTGTTATTATAATAATAATAATAATAATTACTTTATTTAAACACGGAAAAACTTGATCACCCAAGGGTGTTTTTCATCAAGGCCGAGCAAGGCCATAAGTGGTAAAATATAAAAATACAAAATACATAACAAAAGTATAAACATTAAAGAATTTGTTTAAGTAATAAATGTGATTAAAATGTGAAATTAAATAGTATCTTTAGTTTAAAATAAATTCAAAACATATACATTAATTAATTTATTATACATACAGTAATTGATAAATTTAATATCAGAAGTTAGATTAGATTAATGATTTCTTTAAATTTATTAATATTTGCTGAATTTTTTACTCATCATTTAAATTGTTCCATAACTTAGCACCATGGTAAGTTAAACTTCTTTTTTTATATTCTGTTTTAGGTTTTTCAGTATATAAGACATCCATTGTTCTTGTATTGTATTGTGGATTTCTTAAGGTAAATCTGTTCCTAAGATATGATGGTGCTAAATCATGAAATATTTTAAACATAATAATAGCCTCATTGTAGAAGAGGTTTGTTTCAAAGTTTACCCATTTAAGATCCTGCAAGGCTTGGGAACTTGAGTCGTAACTTGTCTTTTTTAGGATAATCTTTGCTGCTCGGTTTTGAAGAACTTGTAATTTGTTAGTTGAAGTTTTATTTGTTCTACCCCACACAACATTACAGTAATCAAAATGTGGGGCTATTAAAGATTTGTACATCAAATTTTGAAGGTGCTGGGGGATAATGTTACAGGACTTTTTCAAATAGTATAAGCCAGGCAGGACCTTATTTTTAACATGATCTGTTTGTTTCTCCCAAGATAAATTTTCATCAATATACACGCCTAGATGTTTACAACTTTGCACCCTATTTAAACGTTCACCATCAATGTTAATATTTAGATCTGTATATGTTAATTTTTCCAATTTCTTATGTGTGCCAATAAACATACACTCGGTCTTTCTTACATTTAAACTTAGTTTGTTACATGCTAACCAGTTTTTTATATTTCCTAGATCAATGTTAATTTTGTTGACAACATCCTCTATATCTTTAGATACATAATATAGAACTGTGTCATCAGCATACATACTAATTTTTACATGACAAATATGACTAGGTAAGTCGTTTATATATACAAAATGAATAATAGTGGCCCTAGAATTGAACCTTGGGGTATTCCACACAGAATGTCGTACTGATTTGACAAAACACCATTTACATTCGTGATTTGAGTTCGATTATTAAGATAATGTTTAAACCATTTTATAACAGAGATATCAAGAGAATATTTATTTAGTTTGTCTATAAGAATTTTATGATTTACAGTGTCAAATGCTTTCTTTAAATCTATCGTAACTAATCCAATGTATTTTCCAGAATCAATGGCACTAATCCAATCTTCCGTTACATTGATTAAAGCTGAAGTTTTGGAAAAACCTGGTCTAAAACCTGATTGATATTCGTAGATCATATTATTTAGATTTAAGAAAGGGTAAATTTGGTCAAACACAGCTCGTTCAAGAATTTTTGACAAGATCGGTAGTATTGATATTGGTCTGTAATTACTAGGTTCTGTTTTGTCACCACCTTTAAAATTCGGACAAATTTTTGATCTCTTCCATTTTTTTGGAAACACACCAGTTGAAAGTGACAAGTTAATAAGATATGTTAGTGGACCAACAGTAGTATCTATTGATAACCTTATCAATTTAGCAGGGATATCATCAATCCCAGTTGTTTTATTTACAGACAAAGAAATTAGTTTCTTATAAACATATTCCTGGGCCACTAAATTGAAATTGAAGATTAGGTCATTATCAATTATTAAACTTTCATTTAAGTCTGTCCTTTTTTTACCATCAGGAATATTTTCGGCTAAATTAGGTCCAACTTTTACAAAGTAGTTATTTAATGTATTTGCAATTTTAGAAGGATCTGTTTCTATTCCTTTATCAGTTTTTAAGCTATTTATTTCTGTTTTTTTTTTTTTTTTTTTTTTTTAATTGTATTTTTTGTATGTTCTCCCATATTTTTTTAGAGTCTTTAGTATTTAGTTGTTTTGAAAAATATTCCCTTTTGCTATTTCTTATTTCGAAGTTAACTCTATTTTTTATTAATCTATACTCATCCCATATTTGAGATGATTCTTCTTTACTTGCTCTTTTCTTAGTCCTATCACGCTCATGCATAAGCTGTAATACTTCTTTAGTTAACCAGGGGCTATTTTTATGCCTTACTCTTTTTTTCTTTGAAGGTGCATGTAAATTTGCTATTGTTAGAAATTTATTTTCAAAATCATCTAGTGCATCGTCAACATTAGAATAAATAGTAATTTCATGCCAGGGTACATTTTCCATATCTGACTTAAACTGGTTTTCATCAAAGTGTTTATATGTTCTACTAATTCTAAATTTATGGTTATGTTTAATTTTTTCTTCTTTCCCAATTATTGCATATATAATGGAATGATCGCTCATTCCCGTATGCAGAACACCAGAAGTTGATATTTTTTCAGGAAATGAAGAATAAATGTGGTCAATGATAGTTCTGCTATTTTTAGTTATTCTTGTCGGTTCTGAAATTAACTGTTTTAAATGGAAATTTTTAGCAATTTCATTAATTCTTTGAGTGTAACATGTTGGATTGGCTGATAGTATATCACAATTCATATCGCCAATCATTATAATTTCTCTGTTTCCACATTCAATATTTTCAAGCACATGTTCGACATATTCAAATAATTTGAGTTCTGAATTTGGAGGGCGGTACCAGGCTATAATCAAAATGGGCTTATTTTGGGGTTTTTTAATTTCAAGTATAATCATTTCTAGTTCATTGTGCATTAGGTCATATCTAACAGAGTGAGTAAAACCCCCATTATTATTTACAAAAAAGGCAACTCCCCCTCCCTCTCTGTTTCTATCTTTTCTGTAAATATCATATCCATTAATGTTTTGAATATTATCCGTGATTGAATTATTTAGGCGGGTTTCATTCAAAGCAACTATATCTATTGTATTGTTTAAAAGAAGATGTTTAAGTTCATCAATTTTACCCAGAAGTGTCACAATATTAAGTCCAATTATACTTAACCCTTTGTTCATAAAAATCTTATGGTTTTCTGAAAAAATGTTAGAAGTACTTAGTGAAGTTTTGGATAGCTCATCATTTTTTCCGTTGATATTTGTTGAGTGTTTGTCCTTAGTATTTAAAGTGTCCAAAGTAAATAGCATTTCCAAGTGGAAGGATTCCTCATTATCGTTAAGTGTCAATTCGGCATCAGCTTCCTCGCCCTCTTTTCATTGTTGTATCTCGCAGAATTTAGACTTGTGTCCCACTGAATTGCATGACCAGCAAGTTACAGGCTGACCATGGTGACATACACGACGGGTATGACCACTTTCTGCATACCCTTTGTTACAATACCCTATTGTTATTACTGTTATTACTATTATTATTATTATATATAATATTATTATTAGGCCTATTATTATAATTATTGTCTGGATCTCTGATACTAAGTGTGTTTGAATAGTTATGATGATGAACTGTTATATATTTTTAAAGTACATTATGCTGTGCCTTAGAGTATTATTTTCTACAATAGCATATTAGGGAAATAATATAATCATTTTTTAAGTTATGATTTAATATCTAAACTCTAAATATTATTAGGCCTATCATCATAATTATTGTCTGGGTCTCTGATACTGGGTGTGTTTGAATAGTTATGATGATGAACTATTATATATTTTTAAAGTACATTATTCTGTGCCTTAGAGCATTGTTTTCCAACTACAATAGCATATTAGGGAATATTACTGTAAAGCTTGCTATTAATTATCTCTCGGTGTTACTAATGTAATCATTTTTCAAGATATGATTTGATATCCAAACTCTCAATGTGAATGGTTGGCACATGAAGTCCAGAAGATGGATGCCAACTCCGACCATTGTAAAAACAATACATTGGGGAGAAAAAGATTTTTTACACATTATGAAAACGTAAAATTAAAAGAGAAGATTTTATATTACAAATATTTCGTCCTGCTCTTTATTTGTTTGTAACTAAGGCCAAGTATCAAGTACTGTAATTGGTTTGCAAATATGACTATAGAAGAAATTATGTTCAATTCTGAATTTTAAATAGGCCTATGTATGTTTTCATAATAATTTGTTTTTCTATACAAGATATAGTGACTTGTTAAGAGTTGACTTGTTTATGTCATTTTAACCTTAAATATATTCTGTACTATATGTTTTAGCTTGACAATAATTATCATTAGAGTACTGTTTAGTGCATTTTATTTTAGTGTATTTGAATAAATGGTCATGCAATTTGTTAGATTGTTTCGGGGATTGTTTGAAAACAATATTCAAATATAGACTATAAAATTGAGACAGTAGATATCAACATGGACTGTATTCATATTTTATACTATTCTTATTTGGCTTGTGTTCTCTCTAAGCAGTTCAATATTTAGCATATAGTGACCAAAAACAATGAATTATGACCATATTTTCCAATGGCGCATGTCGTTTTAGAAAAAATTTCAACAGAAAAATCAAACATAGAATATGTCTTATTTTATGGATTGTATACTATAATAGAATCAATTTTCTGGACAAAAATGACTCTAATCATGATTTCTGTTATATAATACAGTAAGTTACTGAAATCTACTACTGTATAAAACAAAACAATTTGACCTGTTTTGTATATGTTCAGCCATTGAAATACTGGTACTGTTTGTGATGAGCTGACAAAAAGCTTGTCACCTTTTCACTTCACCGAACTTTCAAAATGAAATTTAATATTTGGATTGTTACTTTGTATATTTAAGATATTAACTTTTAATTTAAATTTAGATTGAGAAAAAATGCCTTTGTCAATTGTGGATCTATAAGTAATACAGTTTCTACATATTAGTTTGCATAGATGCTTTTAATTAAAAAATTGGCATGTAATTTTAAGAGGCTTTAGTGAAAAGGCTGCAAATCAATGAAATATTTTAATACTGTGTATGATCAGTAACTTACCTGATCTTTAAAATAAGCTGTGTTTAATGTTCCAATTTATAGAAGTCTTCAATATGACAGTTTAATTTATTAATTGGTGATCCTCTGCGTTTACTTTATTCCATTGATTATGATCTCTTTGTTGACAGACAGTTCTGTACCGTATGTACATACGTACGTATATACGTACATAGATAAATATCTGTGTATCACTGTGTATGATCAATAACTTATCTGCTCTTTAAAATAAGCAGTGTTTAATGTTTCAATAAATAGAGGTCCTCAATATGACAGTTTAATTTATTCATTGGTGATGCTCTTCGTTTACTTCATTCCATTGATTATGATCTCTTTGTTGACGGACAGTTTTGTACCTTACGT